AATCAATGTAACCCTACCACCAAAAGATAAATATTTAGCCTTCCAAAGAACCAACCTCTTCTCCATTCTCTCAATGATTGGACTCCAGATTGAAGAAGAGGAACATTTTGCCCCAAGAGGCAACCCCAAATACTTAACCGGAGGGAGCTCCATATGGCAGGCCATTATCTGTGCACAATCTTCAAAATTTACAACTTGACCCACTGGGATGATCTTACTTTTGTTCAGATTGACTTTAAGACCCGTAACCACTTCAAACCAACTCAGAATTCCAAGAACTGTTTTCAACTGAGGTAGAGATGCATCCACAAAACCTGAACTAATAAGTAAGAAAGAACTTAAAATTTTATCTAATCAACACATTTTCTTCTTCCATATATTCTTTTACTACTACTACTATTACCAATACTTTTTTCTTTTCTTCTTTTCCTATAACAAAAATAAGGGTTCAGCCCCTATATTTTTTGAATTTTATTTTCCTTCTTATTTTTCTTCTCATGAATATGTTGATTTTTTATACTTTAATATGAACTTTATAACTTTCTTATGAAAATTAGGGAAATGTGGTTATGGTACCTAGGGAACTGCCCTAGGATCTATATTTTCAACATAAAAAAATCCATCGCCTAAGCGACTAGGCACCCCCCTGTCGCCTAGCCTCGCCTTGGCACCTTGAAAACTATGATGCCCAATCTTTGAGAGAAACACAGTGCTGGAGTTGGAAAGGATTCGGAAGTGTGTTTTAGTAAATAGAAGATTTAAAAAACAGAGAAAGCATTGAGACATTCTGGTCTCAAAGGCTTTTGCTAGACTAAAAGGAGGCTTCTTTGGGATTAAACCAAGCAAGAAGATTTTGAGAACCAAGAAAACCTCTAGAAGCTTTTAGCGGTTAGTGGCTTAGAGGTTGCAGTGTTTGAGGGCGGTTTTGGTGTTGATTGTTCAAGGGAGGCTGTTGTTTCTCGTGGGTTTTGAAGTGTTCTATTTGTGCTGTCTTTTTTTTTTATTTCCTTTTCAAAGGGCTACCCAACAGGGGTAGCCCATCCCCCAACCCAGGCGCAGACGGGATTCGATCCCAAGTCTCTGCTACAACCAGCAGGAGACCTTACCAACCAGCTGGTTGGCACCTTGTGCTTCTGTTTGTGCTGTCTCCGAGGTAGAGTTTTTCTATTTTTGAGTTTGCTTAGTCTCTGGTTGTTGTGGTTTGTGTCTTTTAGTGCTCTTTTGGGCTCTTGGGTTTTGGTTATTGAGGCTCGGCTGGGTTGGTTATTATTTGAGAGTTGGAGTTTGTTTTTCTTTTCTCTCTTGAGTGACTTCTAGTCACTCCCCTTTTGTACTCTTTTTCTGTTTAATAAATTTTATTTCTATTACCAAAAGAAATATTTGATAAAATATTATATATACGATACCATATATACATACATGCCATGTATACATATATGCCATATATACATGTCATACATACTATACATATATATGTGGCAAAATACTATACAATTACCATAAAAAATTTAAGACACTATACCAATAAATAAGATATTATACCAATTATATAAGATATTATAGTACATATTATAAATATACATGCAATTTCTAGGCCTAGGGCAGTAGAGCTTGTCGGGCCTAGGGATTGCTTGGCCTAGGCCCAGAGTCCACATTCTTTGTGGGCTTGATGCTGGTCCAGGCCAGGCAAGATCATAAATGGATGCCGTTTAAATAATCCAGGGATTTCACGTATTGGGAGAGTGATCCACAGGAGAATGTCCTAATTATCCCAGCCTTATTGGTGTTGGTAACTCAATTGGGGCAGATCTTCTATCAGTTAATGAAGGGCTTAGGATCCATTCATCACTAAACACATCAAGGTTTCATATGGAAAGATTTGAAAGTGGTTATTGGACGGGTGAATGCTTGAGTTTCCCTGGATGTGGTTGAAGAAAGCCTATGAGGTTCTACCTATTTAATGACAAATTAATGTACTATTTGTAAATGCTAATGATCAAAACAGCATAGAGTATGTATTTGCTTTCTTTCTCATATATATATTTTTAGGTTCCATTTGGATGAAAGTTCTGAGGACTCTTAGCATAATTTTTTTTTTTTTTGATAAGTGGCTCTTAGCATAGTATTAACCAAGGCATCTAGTGACTAGCTATTTTTGCCTGTCAAGTCTTTGATGAAAAAGCATAATATGTTTATTATATTTTATAGAAATAAATATATTAGATCTTTACATAAGAAAATTAAATTAGCTTTCATTCCCATATCTCTATTTTTTACCAGTTTTATATGGCAACATAGGATTCATGTAGCCAAGCCCATATAGTTGGGATAAGGCTTGGAGGATGGTAATGATGATGGTGATCTCTATTAACCAACAACAGCAATCAGATTGTATAAACATGAAGTGCAGAAAGAAATTCAAACATTCCAAGAAGCTTGGAATGATGAGATCAGTACCAAAAAACCAAAGTCTGACAAACATGTGAATACTAACGAAGAACCAAAATTATAGATTCAATTTTGGGCCTGGTTCCCCACAAATAAGATCTACTAGAGTAACCCCTGCCCCAGCTAAAGAGCCAGCAATACTGTTGGCATGTGAACAAATGTTCAAGTTGGATCCAAAGGCCTTGGCTTCCCTTCCTCCCTCCCAACTTTGAAGAGTAATATTTTTAGTTATATATTCTAAACAGTATTTTATTATAATTAAGCAACATAACATTTAAACTTGCTACATGTATATAGCACAACTCAATATTACATTAAGTTCAAGGATCTTCTATACAAATTGGTGTTTTAAAATGTGGAGGAATGATGCGTGGTAATAGGACCTTTGGATGCTTCAGGCATAAGCCTCAAGTCATGAGGCACCTCATGATTTATCACTTTCTTAAGAAAAACATGAAAATCAAATAGGAAAAGCATAAAAAATATGGAGAAGATGAGTGTACTTTTTATAATAAAAATAAATTCATCAAAACAAAAAGAAAGTACAGGGAAAAGGTGATAAGAAATCACCTGAGGGGAAAGAGGAATGCATCTGTATAGGAAGAGCATATAAATGAACAAATGATAAAATAAATGAGGACTATAAGAATGTAAGGAGCTTCAGAGAACCTCATCGTATTATTAAAAATCATTTAACAACAAAAAATAGACAGTTTTACATATATTGAAGCATAAATACATGCACATGCATAAAAGTACACACAGAAACATATTAAGGCATTTCAAGTTGTAAGGAATGTACCTTGTACTTTCATGGATAAACCTAAATGATTTTTCCTTAAGCTTTGCCTCAAGGTATAAACGCCATACACTTTTTTAAAACTGGTAGAAATATATATACATACATATATATATATACACACCTTACCTACTATGAGTATAGTAGGTAATTGTAATTCCCTTATAGCGGCTAATTTTAGACACTATTGCAGCTGTTAAGGTTCTTGTCAAGGTGAACTTGATAATCTGGGGATGCATCAACTATATGGCACCATACATATTTTCCACATCAAGTATAATAGACAACAAGATATATAAGGAAACTTCAATTGAAAAGATGCATATGTTTGTTGCTAAATTATGCGTTAAGATATGCATGAGTGATGAGTTGATTTTATGAACTACCATATAGAAACATAATCCAAGTCAAATTTGCATTTATCTTACCTTAATGTTTTGCTTTAAACCATAAAATTCATCTCCATGAGAACAAGAAATGGGAAGTTTATTTATTCTAAATTAAAAGAAACCTAGTAAAATAAAACTCAAACTACGATACAGTCAGAGAACAATACTTTACACTACTACAATAATCATAATAACACATCACCGTCCCTTTGAAACTGCTTCATCCAACTCCTCATGTGATGAAGGAAATAGCTCTATATAACGACTCCCAAGCGTCATCCTATCCTTTGCCATTGCTGCTTTTGAATCCTCTGCGCTGGGAAACTCCACAAATGCTTCTCCTGTTGGCCTTCCATCCAAATTCATTGTGATATGAACAGAATCTTCCGTCAGCATGAAATCTTTAAAGAACTCTATCACGTCATCCTTGCCAGCTGAAAATGGCAATCCCCTCAATCGCAAGACCCCTGTATGCTCAGCCGAATCCTTCCCAGCATCGTAGGATCTTGCCTTTGCACCACCCCGATGAGGTGAACCACCACGAGCATCTGAAACTTCATTTGCTATAGCCTTGTAGTATTCTTGCCTCTTACTCCTGAAAACCTCAATGTACCGCCTGCCCATGTTCTGCCTATTCCTCTGAATTGCAAAATCAACTTGAAGAGGATATCCCAACACACAAAAAACCTCCCCAGTGAACCTGCCATTTTTGTGGACAAAGAGGACATCGACAATGTCTAGACCATGAAGGAACTCTGCCACATCAGCTTCCGTGCAATCAAAGGGAAGTCCACGCAATCGGACAACAGGAAATGGTGGGGGTTGGCTAGCATAAGCATAGGAAGAAGCATTGTACATATAACTCGAACCGGGGGATGCCCCATAGAATGATGACGGCTGATCAATTATTCGCTGCCGTTTTGGACCCATTTCTCGTCCATCACCACCATCAAAGTACTTCCTTCACTCCCCAGGTGCACAGAGGCAAGAGACACAACAGCCCACTCGTCAATACTCCACTTGCAAAATACCCACTCAAGAATACAGTGATTTCAAATGTTGCATCTTCTTGCATTTTTCTATTGGCATCTTTGATTTGAAAATATAAAAAACAAGCTAAACCCTAGAAAGCAGAAAAACAATAAACAGATTCCGAGTGTGGTAATTAAAAACATAAATTATAGCTCCAGCTATGCATATCCATTTCTGAAAAAAAAAAATAGTAAAACACCCAGAGAAGGTGCTCTCAACCCAAAAATAAACGACAAAAGAATTCGAGAATGGAGACGAAAGGATTGATGCTAACTTGTGAGTTGCGCTTTCTGCATATATTTCAGTGAAAGGTTCCAGTTTAAACTAAAGCAAAAGAAAGTCAACATAAATCTTACGAAACCCGCATACGAAAACCTCATAAGTTCAACACGAACAGCATAATGAAACAAAACGAAACGAAACATAGATTTCTGAATCAATGAAGAAAAGGAACCGAAAGTACTAAACATGCACTTACCCTCTGTAGAACATTTCTCCTCGACGACCCCTTGATCCCTGTGTTAGACTCGTGGGCTCTCTCTCTCTTCGAAGGAAAACCAAGAAAGAAAATAAACTATTTTACTAATTTAAGAAAAAGATAGAAAAAAAAAATAAATGAAAGAAAAAACGACTGTATATATGGATTTGATCAGAACAAAATTCAGAACGCAGAAGTGATTACTATATACAATGCGGATGGATGTAGATATAAACGGCAAGAAAACACCAGCACCAGAACCCGAGTTCAACCAGCTCGTCAAATGCAAAATAAGGGCTGCCCTAATAAAAGGCCAAAGGGTCAAAATCGTTTTTCACAAGATCGTAGGCGCTTACTGTAAAAGGTGCCTCCACAGCTTAAACGAGCGTTTGATAACGGCTGAAGTGGCTGAAGTAAATGACTTAATTTGTAAAATACTACTTTGTCCGGAATGAAAAAAACAGGCAAACAGCTTAAAAAAAAGGTAGTTTAACTATTATAGAGAAGCCTATGAGGAAATCAACTTGGGCATTTTTGTAGACGTAAATATATTAATATACAAAGCTAGTATTACCATATTAAAGGTCCGTTTGGCTTGCAGCTGGAATTGGAATCAGAATGGATTCCCCTAACCTGTTTGGTTCAGACAGGAATGGGAATAAGAATTGGGATCAGCGTGAATGGGATTTTATTCGCAGGGGAGGGGCAGGGAATGATTATTCCATCAAATCATCAAGAATGGGAATAGGATTCCGATTCCACTCAACCAAACAGTTTGAATCGGAATAATTCATTCCAGACCCCTCCTATTCATGTGAATCAAGCGGGGCCTAAAACCTTAATTGTATTAGATGTAACGGGAAGAGCCCTCCCTTGTCTTGTTTAATTTTCCTAATTATCAACAAAAAAGAGAGGGCAATTAGTCGAAACCAACAGAAGCACATGGAAGTCAGACTCAATCCACGAGCAGTTTGAAGACCTTAAAGCATACAGCCACCATTATTCCACACTTGGGCAAAATGTGTATGTGGAGCTCAGCGAGCAATCAACCGAGGCCTACTATTCTTCGAAAAATTTATTTGAAGTTGGATCAAAGACTAGGATAATTAAGCTCCTGCAATAACTTGTTTGTAGACTCAATACTTAGCTTTAGATCATCTAGTTTATTTTCAACCTATTTGCAAATAACTTACCTGAAGTTTAATCAAAATTTAATTTCATACAAAACTACTGCCCTAAATAGAAAAAAAGAAAATCGTAGTACAGCTATTGTAAAAAAGCATATTACAAGGCACGTATTTGCAAAACTAGTTGTGGCTCCCCATAGCCTATAGTAAATGGATGCATCCATTCTTCCCCATAGCCTATAGTCCTAAACCATATATACTCAGTAACATGAGGTGCATGGAAGAGAATACTACTTATAGTATATGAGACAACTTCGCCCGATAATACCAAATGAAGATGCAAGGTAGGCTTAGCATGTCTTGAATGGCATGAATCAAGAAATGAGCAACGACCTCAAGATATCCTCAAATGCACCTATAACCCAAGCAAATTACTAACACCCAAACATTTACAAGAGAAAGCCAAGCAAATCCGAGAAATTAGAAGCTTACGTCGAAGAGGAGACATGCTTCTTTATGCTAATACCTCGAGAAGTTGCGGGGCATGCCTGCAATTCATACATTCTCGAAGCCTGCATCTATAAGGCATAAGGATAATAGCATCACCTTGATAACCGACAAAAATTGTCTTCAATAAATGGTAAAAGTTGGATGAAAGACTTTTTACTATGAACGCATACCTGTGCCACTTCCGAATTTGTATCACAGCGGAATTGTGCGGCTATGACATTCATTTGCAAAGAATATCCAGTCACAAAAAGGTTGGGAAGAAAAATCTCTAAAAAAATGCAAAACCATGATTCATTGCTGCTCCGATTCGAACACTTGAATCATCTTCACCAACGCTTTCTTCAGGAAGTAACAATCCCCGAAGATGTTCCGGATAGATTTAATAAACTAAAAAAAATAATAATGATAACATCAACAGTAAAAAAAAAAAATATATAGCATATAAAAACAACATTGTTTTACACGATCACAGTCAATTCTGATGCCACAATTGACAATGCAAAGTCATAAGAACGCACCTGCAAAGGAGTGCTTGAAATTGATTTAGAAGTAATTTTTTAATTTGTGTGAGTCCAAAACCATCATCTCACAACAAAATCATATGCTACAATAGCAAAAGTTTGCGCATCTAGTATGGGTTGGAAAGGTACCAAAAAGAGCAGATCCCAATAGAGAAGAGAAAGAAATACCAACCTTGCTGCAACACTGTCCTTTCCTTCTTCCAATTGTTTAGGTCTACCTGACAGGTTTGAATAATCTGAGCCGATTAAAACATTTTTGGTTCCATGATTATGTCAAAATCAATAATTGGGTCGATTCGTGTTCTTCACTTGTCCCATACCGATTCATACCCAAAACTAATTATTTTGTTATGCATATATAATATTTCCTTCATTTTCTTATACTTGTTATCATATTATATGCTTAAGTTTGCATTTCTGCTAAATATATAGTTAAAGGTGTTTAAGCTTGTTAACATATAAATAGTTTAGTGTTTTCCTATCAATTTCATTAAAGTTATATGATAAAAATTTAAATTTTATGTTACCACTTAAATAAGAAAAGTGGTTTATGGTATTATTGGTTCGATTTCTAACATAAGTTAGTGTTTAAGCATAAATTTTAAGTAAAAAATGATGGTTTTGTGTCTATGATTTTGTCTCGATTAATAATCGGTTTGAGAGTGTTTCAACATAGACCAGAACCAGACCCCATCTTCCAAGCGAGCCACCACCTAAAGCTTCATGTGGAATAGTTAGCAGCTTATCATATGAAATAAATTGGAAAAAAAATGAAAGTCTCCTAAGCATGGGGTATGTCCTATACAGTGTCATCGGAAATCAAAAACAATGGTAGGGTGCAAGAATCAGCAACCCCTTCCCGAAATGAAGACCTTGAGATATCCTCAAATGCGCATAGAACACAAGCAAATTAGTAACACCCAGACATCCACAAGAGAAAGTCAAACAAGTCAAAGAAATCAGAAGCTTATGTCAAACAGAGGACAAGCTTCTTTTATGCTAATACCTTGAGATGTTATAGGGCATGTCCGCAATTCATGCATTCTTGGTGCTAGCTGCACCTATAAGACATGATGTTATTAGCACCATCTTTGTAACTTACAACCATTGTCTTCAAGAAATGATAAAAGGTTGGATGAAAGACATTGTACAACAAGCACATACTTGTGTCGCTTCCGAATTTGTATCATGACAGAATCTCCTTTGTGCCAGTCACAAACAGGTCGAGAAGAAAAACTCTATAAATAAATATAGAGGAAGCTAGTGAAAGTGGCTTATTCTGGGTTACAGCATATGCGAGGCCATGGTTCGTTGCTGCTTTGATTCAAACACTTAAATCATCTTCGCCAGTGCTTTCTTCAGGAAGTGTCAACTCCTGAAGATGTTCCGGATTGGTTTAAGAAACTAAAAAAATAATAAGGATAACATTGACAATAAAGGAATGACAACCATACAAAATTTTACAACATATAGAAACAACATTGTCTTACACGATCGCAGTCAATCTTAATGCCATAGTTGATAATGCGAACTCATAAGAATGCGCCTACAACAAAATGGTTGAAATTAATTTAGAAATATTTATTAATTTGTGTGAATCCAAAACCAACATCTCATAGTAGAATCATACACTACAATGGCAAAAGTTTGTACATGTAATATGGGTTGATAAGGTACTTACCGAAAGGTGCGTATCCCAATGGAGAAGAGAAAGGGATACCAATGTTGTTGCAACACTAGCCTTCCTTTCTTCCTTATTCTTCAATCAAGGGCTGTCAATGGTTTGGGTCTACCTGACGGGCCTGAACAGTCAAAGCCAATTAAGACAATCCTGGTTCGATGATTATGTTCGAATCAATAATTGGGTCGGTTCCTATTCTCACCTATCCTGAACCGATTCATACCCAAAACCGACTACTTTGTTATGCATTTACTTATACTTGTTATCATATTATATGCTTAAGTTTGCAATTCTATTGAATAGGTAGTTAAAGGTGTTTAACTTTCTAACATATAAATAGTTGTATTTTCCTATCGATTTTATTAAAGTTTATATGAAATTTTAAGTTACCATTAAAATAAGAAAAGTGGTTTTTAGTTTTGTTGGTTTGGTTTCTTACATAAGTTAGTGTTTAAGCAGAAATTTTAAGTAAAAAACGACGGTTCTAGGTCTATAATTTTGTCCCAATTAATAATCGGTTCGGGAGTGCTTCAAATTAGACCTGAACCGAACCACACCCATCGATAATCCTACCTTAAATGGCGGCCATCTTCCAGTTGAACCACCACCTAAAGGTTCATGTGGAATAGTCATCCGCTTATGCTATGAAATAAATTGAAAAAAAAAAAATAAAGTCCTTTAAGCATGGGGTACGTCTTATACTTATAGTGTCATTAGAAACCGAAAACGATGGTAAGGTGCAAGAGTTAGCAGCAAGCCCTTCCTGAAATGAGCGAAGACCTCGATATATCCTTAAATGCACTTATAACCCAAGCAAATTAATAATAGCCAAACATCCACCAGAATGAAACAGAGAAGTCATAAGCTTACATCAGGAGAGGACAAGCTTCTTTATGCTAATACCTTGAGAGGTTGTGGGGCATGCCTGCAATTCATGCATTCTCGTAGCCTGCACCTATAAGACATAAGGATATTAGTGTTGCTCCCATAACTAACTGACAAAAGGTTGGATGCAAGATTTTTTATAACGAGGCCATGGTTCATTGTTGCTCCAATTCGAACACTCCTTGCTGCGAGCTCCTACTTGATTGAATATCATTAGTTTTTTATTCTTGAGTGTAGTTTTGAAGTATGAACCTGCCTTATAACAGGGTTGTCACTATCAGTCTGTATAAACCTCTATCATTACAATTTGATAAGAATTAAAAAATCATGATTCTTCTTGAC